TGTGTTTATGTGATGGCGCGACATGTGGGGTGGATTATCGAGGTTTACTCCTGAGAAGCTTGGCATGCTGGTGCTTCTTCACATACATTTACTTTTTATGTGTGTGTGTGTGTGTGTGTGTGTGTGTCCACCCATCTGTGTGGGTTTAGCTGGAGGCCAAAGCAATGGGGAATTGGAAAGCTGGATGTTGTGTTATATACCAGTGTCTTATCACTCTGATATATGGCCAAATAGGACACAGAGGAGCTGAGACTGGCCTGATAACAAACAAGAAATGAGGATCGGAGGGAAGTACAGAAATGTAAAGAAAGAAAGGAGGGAAGCAGGGAGAGAAAAGATGAGGAGAAACAACGTGCTCTCTGGAGGCCCACGGGACTGTGTTAGTGTAGTCTCTGATCATTGATTAAAGAGGTTTATGTACTCCCACCTACAGCATCGTAGAGGACACACTCACCCCTCTCTCCTCTCTCCTCTCCCAGAGCTGTCCATCCCTCTGCCCTTTCCCTCCTCTCCGTCTCTATCTCGCCGCTGTAATGTGCAGACAACCATTGCTGTAATTTTCCCTGTACTATAACTGACAACTACGAAAGGTCACTCAGTGGGAGGGGTCTCCTGCCTCTAATCACTCAACAAGAGCAGGGCCACGCAGTCCATTCAAATGTCACCGTATCAGAAATACTGATAAAGATGAAAAATGTACTCTCGTACTCCTGTTTTTTTTTTTGTTTTTTTTTAATTTCCTCTTGTAATAAACAAACTACCATTCAATCTGAAGAGAGCCAGTGTCCCTGAGCTGCAATTACATAAACCAAAATCTTTCTGTTCCAAATGAAATCTCAATTATATGTCCGCTGCATTAAATGATAAGCTCGGTGTCATGGCCGTGATCCACATTAAGCATTCAGCACAGCACTGCACCTGTGTTGAACGTGCACGCCATTATTGGTTTGCGGCTGCCCTTTCTACTGAAAACGCAGTTTTATCAGAACATCCTCCTCCTGCTGTTATTAAATGGAAGCAGTCCCCCGCTTCACCATCTCCTGTCAACTAGAACACATCACTTGACTAAAGATGGTTTCCACTGGGAAAGACATACATGTACTGCTCAGAGAACGCTCACTGTTGGCAGAAAGTGCTTGTAAATGACCAAAAAATGGGGACAATCAAGTGGTGAATCAAGTCAAGTTGGCAAGCTGGTAAAAAAAGAAACAGAGTACAGCTATTCCAAAAACATACAGGAGTCCACGGCGGATAAGGAGACAATAAACCCTTGGGTGCAGAAATGCAAAGGGCCCCACCACCTTTCCACCTTCCCTGTGGTTGTTTTGTGTCTTTTTGCAAACGTTTGGGTCTCTTTAAGGTAATTTTGTGTCTTTTTTTGGTCGTCTTGTTCCTCTTCGTAATCATACTGTGTGTCCTTGTGGTTGTTTTGTGTTTCCTTGTGGTTGATTTGTGTCTTTTTGCAGTCATTTGGGTCTCTTTAAGGTTATTTTGTGCCTTACTGAGGTGATTTTGTCTCACTTTGAGGTAATTTTGTGTCTTTTTTTGGTTGTTTTGTTCTAGTTTGTAATCATATTGTGCGTCCTTGTGGTTGTTTTGTGTCTTTTTGCAGTCGTTTGGGTCTCTTTGTGGTGATTTTGTGCCTTATTGAGGTAATTTTGTGTCTTTTTTTGGTTGTTATGTTCCAGTTTGGAATTATATTGTGTGTCCTTGTGGTTTCTTTTTGTCTCTTTGTGGTTGTTTTGTGTCTCTCTGTGTTTTTTGGGGGTCTTTTGCGGTTGTCTGGGTCCCATTGAGATACTTTTGTGTCTCTTTGGGGTGATTTTGTGTCCTTTTTTTGGTTGTCTTGTTCCAGTTTGTAACCATATTGTGTGTCCTTGTGGTTGCTTTGTGTCTCCATGCAGTTGTTTTGTGTCTCTCTGCAGTCGTTTGTGTCTCTTTGAGGTGATTTTGTGTCATTTTTGGTGGTTTTGTTCCTCTTTGTAATCATACTGTGTGTCCTTGTGGTTGATTTGTGTCTTTTTGCAGTCGTTTGGGTCTCTTTAAGGTTATGTTGTGCCTTACTGAGGTGATTTTGTCTCTCTTTGAGGTAATTTTGTTTCTTTTTTTGGTTGTTTTGTTCTAGTTTGTAATCATATTGTGTGTCCTTGTGGTTGTTTTGTGTCTTTTTGCAGTCGTTTGGGTCTCTTTGTGGTGATTTTGTGCCTTATTGAGGTAATTTTGTGTCTTTTTTTTTGTTGTTATGTTCCAGTTTGTAACCATATTGTGTGTCCTTGTGGTTGTTTTATGTTTCCTTGTGGTTGATTTGTGTCTTTTTGCAGTCATTTGGGTCTCTTTAAGGTTATTTTGTGTCTTTTTTTGGTTGTTTTGTTTCAGTATGTAACCATATTGTGTGTCCATGTTGTTGCTTTGTGTTTCCTTGAAATAGTTTTGTGTCTTTTGCAGTCGTTTGGGTCTCTTTAAGGAAATTTTGTGCCTTATTGAGGTGATTTTCTCTCTCTTTAAGGTCATCTTGTGTCTCTTGTTGGTCATTTTGTTCCAGTTTGTAATCATATAATGTGTATCCTTGTGGATACTTTCTATCTCCTTGCGGTTGTTTTGTGTTTTTTTTTAAGTCAATTGGGTCTTTTTGAGGTAATTTTGTGTCCTATTGAGGTGATTTTGTCTCTCTCTCTCTCTGAGGTCATTTTGCATCTTTTCTTTTTTGTTTGTTTTGTGTCAGTTTGTAACCATATTGTGGCCTTGTGGTTACTTTGTCTTTTTGCAGACGTTTGGGTCTCTTTGAGGTTATTTTGTGTCCTATTGAGGTGATGTGGTTTTTGTGTTTTGTGTTAATTTGGTGCCTTTTTTGTTCATTTTGTGCCAGTGTGTAATTATGCTGTGTGCCAGGGTTGTGTGAAACTTGGGTCTCTTTGTATTTTTGCCTGTTTTTGTCATTATTTCATGTCTCTATGCTGTTACATCGTATCTCTTTGTGGTTGTTTTTTTCTCTCTTTATGGTCATTTTGAGTCTCTTCCTTATCAGAATGTTTTAATTTGATTAACATTTTGCAGGTGAAGGCCAGCGGGGCCCCGCTTACACTGCAGCCGCGCTCAGTAATCCATCAGTTCACAAAAGAATTTGGTGGCTTTTGTGGCCACTAAACCTGCACAAATAAGACAAAAAGAAACTCTGTAATTCTCAAATGCACCCCTAACTGCACTGCCAAGCAAATAGCGTCTCTGAGCTCCTGTGCTATTTGCACAGTATCTAAATTATATGTATATCTTTGGTGCAAAATTGGCCTCTTTCTATGCAAATGAGCCTCATTGCAAAAACAGTCCAATCCACAAAGATCAGTGCTAATAGCCACATGCAGGTACAGTGAAATTTTAAGCGCCTCAGAGAGTTGGTGGTCACTAAAGCGCATTTATTTGGGGCGTCATATGTCACACCCAGACGTTCCAGACTGCCTCAAGTTTTGAGGAATGTCTCTGCACTTCGTCAGTCAGGACCTCTAGCTCAAGGTGTGAATATTTCAGATTTCTTTTCCTCTATGCTGTTGTTCTGCCTACTGTGTTCTTGATGCAAAGACAACATGTCTACTTTGCCACATGGATAATTGCAATCAGAAGCATAAAAGGGCAAACTGCACTCAGCTGCAAAACTTAATAGGCATATTTGCGCTGTAAAATCATTAGCGCAATATCTTTTGTGAAATGGCCCTCGAGACAGGGCAGATTGTCGCTGAAAGTGATGCACAATTCATGTTGCTACCAGCAGCCACAATCCATTCTTTGTGAATTTCACAGCACATGACAAATGCTCATCTGTCAAACATATTGCAAAATGATGTAAACGCCACTTCTACAGACAGAAGCAAATATTTGTCTGAATGACTAAGTGTTTACATAAGATGCATGTATTCTGAATAGGCTGTTACCCTCATGACTAGTGACTTCATATAAATGCAGCTTCTGAATCTCTACCATGTGATGACTTATAAAGAAAAGTCTTGCACTTTGCTGAGCAGGGTGACTAATAATCCGCGTCAGAATTTTGAAAATGTATTTTCAAAACCCAGAAAATACCAGACGCACTGAGCCGAGGATCAATGAGCGACATTAGCAGTTTGGCAGAAACACACAATAAATATTTCAGTCATTTCAGACAAAGACATTAAACATAAGGAAACACATTTTGGCTGTTTAGTTTACAAATTCAGCCGAGGAAGAGACGAGTGGTCCTTGGAATATAGCGTTTGTTGTGTTTATTTAGTCTGTTGTTTTCTGTCACAGTAGCAGGTCCATTAACTATCAAAAGAAATCAATGAGAGCACGCTGAGGCAAACAGCACAGACACCGCTATTATGGTGAACAACAAGTTCGGGATGGAGTGCGAGACGGGAAAGTTGAGCCGGCCGCGAGAGAACGAGCCGAGCGAACATGGACAAACTTGAAAATGAGAAAGGAGAAGAGACCACAGTCAATTACAAGTCCCATCTTGTAGTTTGTGTCTACATTGATTTGTTGGGGACTAGGATCTCTGCCTCTCCCCAGTTCACCTAATTGCACTCACTCTGACCCGCTAATTACTTCGCTAAGACCTAGTTGGTCTCACCTTGGTGCACTGCCTCGCTGTGCTGTCTCTCTAAACCAACGTGGAAGGAAGGGAGAAGAGAGGGCAAGCCTGGATTAAGAATGCATGATGCGTGTCAGAGTAGGAGAGAGAGGGGAGATGTAGAATGAAACAACAAGAGACAGACACAGTAAGGAAGGAGAGGTGTATATATCTGAGGTGGTTTGCAGAGGCTGTGAACTCGGTTGGAGGGCATTCAGCAGCGTTAACGCACTGCTGTTACTGTACTGTATGTCACCTCAGGACAGCGATGAAGTGAGTGATGTTCCTGTCTCTCACGGAGCTGCGTACATAATTAAATGAATGGCTACTGATTAAATAATCACTCATAATCACGAAGATAACAGTGACAGTGAAGTTCATTCATCTGGAGCTCACATACCTGATGGGATTAGCCCAAAGGCCCAGTTGGGTACAAGGATGCCGAAAGGGTTGTTTGTGTCTTTGTCTTTGTTGCCTGTCGACACCGGAGCTTTGTGTTCCTCTGACTTTGGGCTCATGCCTTTGAAAGGTGTCCACCGACTCCCAACAATGAAGGACTCAGACACTGCCGACCTGGATTCCATTTGTGTGGCGCCAACGTTGGAGTCTGACGCGAAGGTGGTCAACTGAATGACACCAGTAGTCGTTTGAGATCCGGGTGCTAGAGTAGCTGAGAGACGGTCCTGTGGGTTGGGGGTTGTTTTCTCCGTCTCTTCCCGAACCCAAGAAATGGAAATAGACGACTCCTCTAAGGTGGCGCTCTCTGAGGAATTTTCTGTGGTGATTGCTCTGGTGATAGGATCCGTCCTCTGCGTGTCTCTAGTAGTCAGAAGCTCCACTGTGGTCACCTCAGTGGTTGTCAGCACCTCCATTAGGGCTTCAGGTGTGGAAGTCACCACCTCCTTTCTGCTATTGTTTTTGCTGTTCTTCCTAAAAAGAGGAGTGAAACCTGAATTTGAACTACTTTCTCCCCTCCATGAAGAAGCAGAGGAGATGGTATCAGTGGGTCGGCGGATGTAGAGGATCTCCCCCCTGGCCTCCTCTGCTGTGTCAGACTCCTGGGGGCCCTGAGGTGGGGTGGTGGGCTGCTGCACCGGCTGCCACTGGGACAGAGTGGTGTGCTCTGCCACAGTCACAACCTCAGTCTGGCCTTGGCTGAGTGAGGACTTTTTTTCAGAACTCAGTTTGACACTGTCGCTGTCCAACTTGTTGCCTGTCAATCCAAACCCACCAGGAAAGTTGCTCCCTTCACTGCTCCCCTCGATCTCCTTCTCCTCTCCTGATGCAGTTCTGGCAGCTGATGGAGTGCTCAGATCCTCTCCATCCTGGTCCTTTCCTTGGCCTGAATAGTTTTCTGGGTTGTCCTGTCGAAGGGAAGTGGGCAGGGTTATCACCTCAAGTGGCCCTGCTTTGGCCTCCATAGGCTCCCACGTGGGACGTTTGCCCACATAGGCCACATTTCCAGGGGGGCCAAGTTTGGAGCCACGCATGGATTTGATGGCCCATTGAAAGTGGGTGCTGGGGGCGGGAGGAGAGGCCGGGCCTCCTCTGGGACCCTGAGGGCCAGATATGTTGACATGTTCACTGGGTGGTGATCTCTCTTTGGGTCCTGATGCAGTGAATTCTGAAGGGAATAAAGAGACAGAACAGACTAATTAATATGATTTCATTACGGGGGCGGGAAGAAGGACGGGGTGGATTTAATTTAATGCATGTGGAATTAGCAATTAAAAGTCAAGCCTGGCTTACATGAGCCCCATATAACTATGACAGGGAGCTCAGTTTCAATATTATTATGAAAACATGACTCTAGTGGGAATGGCAATGTGAGCACTGGCTGGTATGGGTTTCTGTCATGTATAGACTATTTCACTGATTTGCTTTTACTGCATATGTTGTTTTTGGATGTGGGGCTGTGTGAGGTATTTATCCATATTGAGTGTCTTAAGCCCCGTTTCCAGTGAACACTTCCAGTATGGCACCTTTGGAACCAAAGGTAACCCTTCAGACATGGTACCTAGACCCTAGTGTTTCCACTGCAAACAGTACTCTTAAATGTGGGCGAGGTTGTTGTCACTCACTGCTTTGTCCAGCACTCACTGTATTTCCTCATTACTGGTGACACAGATGGAAGTCTGAACCTCATTTATCGTCTACAGAATGAGGCTGCACGCCAACTTTGTCTGAACAAAATATCAAAGGCTGCGGTGAAAATTTCTCGCGATGGAATATGTAAAAATAGCAGGTTTGTGTATTTAGTCGTTCTAAGGCAAGCTCAGGGGTTTACTGTTGCTGTAGAATATATGCAGTTCACATAATCCATACATCCAGTTGAAATTAATATATATAAACGCACGAAGATCCACTCATTACGAAAAGTGTATGTCATATAAAAACTAAAGTAATGGTCAGAGTTGTCACCCTGAAATATAAGGTGTGCTGATTGATTTACATTGTCAACTCATGCATTGAGTAACATTATAAGTAAACGTTCCACCTTAAAAGTCACCGGCAGTCAGCCCAGTAAATTAAGTTACTTTTTACTCAGACTCCAGCTGCTGTGAGAGGCAGCAAAACATCCTTTGATTTTATGGCTTCAGTCTAATAAAACTCTCCACGGTATGAACAGTGGGTACATGAGCTTCAAAACCAGACACAACTCAGCCCTGAGCAGAGTGACCGTCCTCTATTGACCAATCAACAGACTGCAGTGTTCACAGCTCCACCTTTTAGTACCAGATCTGTGTGCTAGGTACCCCAACAGAGGGGGGACCAAAAATGGGGCCGGTACGGAACGGTTCCATTGGTACCATCCACAACTTTTTACAGTGGAATCAGAAAAAAAGCGTATCGAACTGAACTGAACCATACTGTACTGGTCAGTGGAAACGGGGCTTTTACATACAGTAGATGTTAGTTGGGGTGCCCCCAGTTTCAAGAAGCAGGCATAAGTACCACCACAGAAGGTAAGCAATGTACTGCTATGGATGGGGGCAGCTGTAAAAACACATTACAGCCAACTAAGAATACCATGTCATCTATGCTCTCTTCAAAGCCACCAGACTCCTTTGACAAAAACAGTAATTTTACCTCGTAGCACATGGGAGCTGGTGGGCTACTGCTGCCTCGATCTGTTAGATTGTTTGTGTTTTTATGTGACTTCAGTGAATCAAAATTAACCCAAAAGTCATACAATGACACAAACAAGGTAGCCAATTGAGGCAAAGGTAGACTAGCAACTCCTGTATTCTGCAAAGTAAAATGACCATTTTTGTCAAAAGTGTCTGGCTTTGAAGAGAGCACAGATGATGGCTTCAGTTCATTGTCAGAAAGAGCTGTCTGACAGCAAGGTAGAGCGGTGAAAATACTCTATATATAGCGTATACTTAAACTGACATTGAGTATTTTGTTGGCTAAAATACATTTTACTGCTGCCCCTGTCTATATTCGCACATTGCTTCACTTCTGTGGCATTACTTCTGCCAAACTGCAAGTGTGCCGACTGCCACCCACTCTGGGAAAAACACTGACTGTGAATAAGTACCTCATACAACCCCACTTCATAAAACCTAAAGCATCCCTTTAATATACTTAACTGTGATTAGAAAGTGTGTAGAAACTTAAGAAGAAACTAAGACCACATCCACAGGGATTGTGTCCCACCTGTTCATAGCTTTTCTCCATAACATTATGCATTCATGACTAAATAAGCAACAGCCAAAAAAACAAAACACATCCTCGGGTATTATGGCTAGACATCATTAGCAAACAACCCCCAAACTGTCATCACATTTTAATTCAAATGTTGCCAAATCCTGGCTGGTGTATGGGAGGATGTGTCATCGCCTTTTCCCAACGGAAAAAGAGCACAGACAGAAATATAAATACAGAAACCTCTTATGGGAAATAACCCACACTGTTCTTAATGTGACAAAAAACTGTGTTCATTAAGCATCCCATTGGTCCTAAACCTAAACAATGAAACTTTCCTGCAGATACCTCATTACATGTGAAACTTTATTTTCCCAAAAGCTGTCTCGCTGCCCAATAACCTCTGGTAAAGAGTCGCAATTTTTTATCCAGTCCAATGAATAATTTATTTCAACGTATATTTTTTATATGCAGAAACGTTCACATTCATAAATATGCTCATATATTCATTTTTAAATTGGACTTTTTCTTTTTTAAAGGCACTACGGTGATTTTTTATGTCATAATACATGAAATTCTCCAAACAGCCTTTGTGGTATTTGGTGGTTAATACGCTCTAGCATGTGCTTTTTTGGAAGTTTGTTGAATCTGTCCTTTCAGGCTGTAGACAAACTGCACTTTTTGATGAAGTGAAAGTAGCATTTAACTGTAATTCACTGTAACTTGGATGTTTTGGGCTTCTTTCCTCCCCAGTGGAGCTGATCTCTGTGGCTGCTAAAGTTGCTGGAGTTTGGAGACAAAGATGGGACTCTCATGGACGCCCATAAACACCCGGGCGCACGCACGCAGAGACACACCAAAAGGATGGAAGGATGTATTCAAAGTAATTTCACACCTCTCTCCTCTGTCCCTGTTTTCTCATTCCCTGCAGATTCTTTTACCCCAAACAGTCTCCTGCAGGGACACACTTGCCTGTGGTGGGAGAAGCCATGTGGAAAAACGCAGGAGCGCTCGCAACACGATAAGCAAATGACTTGCTCCACAACAAGCTCCATCTAGACCTGTTTATTTAGATGAAGTGGCCCACTGTACCTTATCAGCTTACGGCTTTAAACCAGACACTGTCTACACCATCAATAATTCATTCTGTCTGCATGTGTGACTCACGGCTGGTGTGTTGTTGGGTTTTTTTTAGGACTGCAGTGCAGTCGTGTTACTGAGAGGCCCTGCTAGTGTTGCTGCCATCATCATTGCTCAGCTCGTTTGGCTGTCCTCAGTTCAGTTAACATGTCTGAAAAGTACAGCAATATGGGGGGGGGGGGGGGGGGGGGGGGGGGGGGGTGCGCAACACAACCCGGCACAACAAATTACCACGAGAGGGAGAACATACACAAATATGTCCATGCATAAAATATTAAAATGCGTGTAAATTATTCAGAAGGTCTGCTGTTGCTTTATGCCCAAGTGAGGTTTATGAGCCTGAGGTTCATTTCCATAAGAGCCGTGTAGACCGGCGTAATTGTCCTATTAATAATCCAAATAGCTAATTACATACTTTCACTACACACGCTGATGAAAGTGAGAATAATTAAACACATTAATCTGGTTTGATCATCTATGTAATGACCCATGTAATAAATAAAATGAGACAATTAGGCATAGGTTTGGATGATTTGAGCAAGTTCAGCTCTGACACTGTAAATCTGTCGCCGGAAAAAAGCCACAGCTCAACGGTGAAAAGCAGCAAAACAAACTTATAATAAACCCTATTCAGACGGTAATTGTGTGCTTCCACTGTGAGTGGTTCTGCTGTGTTGACTCCACTTTACTGGAGTAAACGGGCTGAGAGAATCCCTCGGGTCAGGCAGACATGATATTAAATTGTGAGAGTGGAGGATGACAATGAGAGAGACACAGAGAGAGCTGGCACCGATGCCACCTCAGCCCATCTGCAGATATGGTGTCTAATAAAAAAGACTGAGGGGAAGTTATTGCGTGGCCATGTGAATCATGTCAGGAGCATCTACACTGAGTGTCAGAGCCCACTGTCTCCCATCGAATAAATTCAGTCTCTGGGGTTGACGTGACTGGTGTGAAGCAGACGTGCATGTCCTTGACAGACAGCCGGGACTCGCATGTTGAGCTTATTCAGATTCTACGTGCGTTTATTGGAGCCAGATCGCTCCAGTAGGAGCTCAACAAAATAACACTTCATTCAATAAAATGTTCAAAAATATTTTGCTGTGCAGGGGGGGATAATTTAAGTCATCGCTCTACATTCAGAGACCTCTTTCAAATTTTCAAAAATAATTTGATTCAATACCTAAATTCTAATCTTTCTTGGATGCGCTGTGTGCAGTGCAGAGCTTTACACCCTCCCTCAATCAAAGAGGCAACATGGCACCATCAGTTAAGGAGTGTTGAGATCTGAGGAATAGCCTGCGGTGTGCAATAACAGAGTTAATTCAGCTCACTGATGCTAGTTTAAGAAGTGACATCAGTTGGGCAGCTTTCCATCACAGCAACATTAAAGAAAGAACGACTCATCTTCACACCCCCCCCCTTTTTCTGTCTTCCCCTTTCTTTCCTCTTCCTCGCTCCACTCATCCCCCTCCTGTGTTGCTCATCCTCGCTGTAGTGATCATTGCCACCTACCTTCAGAGAGCCGGGGCCTAATTGGCAGAGACATAGATGGAGGTGAGAGCAAACGGCAGCGCAGCCCAGCCTCCACGTTAATTGGATACAGCTGTGAATAATGCATGCGGACTAAAGCTCGGATTTTCATTAATACCATGGGGGCTGGCATTGGATTTCAGGTAGCACAGCAGTGAGTGTTTATATTAATAAAGGCGGCAATTGGTAGGTGAGAAAAGCCTATCACCTTTATTGAATCATTCTTCTGGATGACTGTGGGAGCCTCTTAGTCTTTCTTTGTATCCTCCCCTACAGCTGATGCCAAGGATGTGTCATTTATGGTGACCATTAAAAGAAAAGCTGCCTTCTTCCACCCAAGGCTGTGGCACACTTCCTTTCCAGCTCCTATCCGCTACATTTTTCTCCACTTTTGGCCGATGATCAGTTTCTGAGCTGTATTTGGCTTTACTACAGGTGCCTTGCTCTGGTGGTCCAGCAAACTTCCAGACGCAAGCAGCTCCTTTAATCTTTAGTCCACCTTTACCCCTGCAGTTACAAGCTAGAGGAAGTGATTTTGGGTTCAGTGCCAGGGTGCTTTCAGGAAGACATGAACATTGACCTGGTGACCTTTTCTATCTGTGTGTGGTGTACCGCGCCATTCCTGAGGGAAATTCACTCCACCGTGGATGTAAACTGTCTGACAGGACCTTTCAGGTGCTTCAGCTTGCACACATGCAGCACACGCACCCACAAACTAACAATGGACCCCTGCCAGTGTTGGGGAAGCTTCTCCGCAATGAAAAGTAGTTAAACTATATTTTAACAAAAACTTTGAGCTCATTAAGGCAAATTTATTTTCAAAAAGTATTTCAATCGTGTGAAATGATCACAATCTGAGTCTGGAAGAGTGTAGGAGTCCTCACCTAACCAGCTGAAGATGTGTTTTAAGGAGATATGCCCCTCTCTCTCCCCCCCTTTCATGCTTACCTGTCCTGTCCATTAAAAAGGCAAAATGCCCAAAAAAAATATCTTAAAAAAGAAGAAAAGAAAACCTTCAGGGGGAACCTATTTGTCGCCATTTACGTGAGGTAACAAAGTGTAACACATCACATTATGTTACATTAGCTTGGATGTGTTATTGGTGCTTTAATGTAATTCTAAAAAGTTTGAAATTAATTCTTGAATAATTTTGTTAATAAATATTTCATGAGTGTCAATTGTTATGTGACAGTAAACAAAAACAAACATTTTATTGTGATGAAGGTGATGACACACGTTATATAGTCTTGTGCACGGATATGAAAACAGGTGTGCTTTGAGATTTGGGTTTGCCCTTTGGTGTGCCTTGGGCACAAAAAGTTTGAAAACGAACTGGCCTACTGAATGTATACACATGCTTTTGTTTTTTAATGATTTTAACAGTGAAACAAAGACCGACCCTGCTGTACAGGAACCAGTGAAGGGAAGCAGGGAAACTTTGCTGATATTGAACCAGCTGTGTGTCATCACAGTGTGTGCAGATGAACGTTGTTTGACTTCCATTGGAGATCCCTGCCTGTCTGCTGGTGGAAGTTCGGGTACTAGCATCACAAACACTATTCATCTGCACACACTGCGATGCCACACAGCTGGTTTAATATCAGCAAAGTTTCCCTTTATATTCATTGTCTTGTGTGGCGATCAGCAGTGATGTGGTGGTTCACTTTTACACTGTGATCTGTAGCCTATAGTTCGGCTTTAGCCTCTAACTATCTTTGTCTTTTTAACCTGTTGTTGCTGCTGAGTCAGTTTGACATCCTGGATATATCCTTCAAACACACTGTAGACCCCTCTGTCTGCTTCTCTCTGGAATCACTGTTTCATTGTTCCAAAAATATGATAATATTTCTTCAGGGAGTGCAGTTAGTTACAGTGTGGGCTCCATGCTTACTCTTGACAGCTTGTCGGACCATCACAAAGGGGCGGGGCTTAATGAAGGTTTCAGTCAAATAGCAGGTGATTATCATTAAATGACTGAGCTGTGGCACTGTGTCATACTGGTAAAAAGGTAAATAGCATCATACAGATTCAATGAATATGTAGTTTGTAATCAGCCACATAAACTACACAACCCAAAGTAGTTAACTACTGTAAAGGCTACTGAGATTTGAATGTAGTTAAACTGACTCTCAGCTACTGATTGATCTACATGTAGTGAACTACTCCCCAACACTGACTCCTGCATTTGTCAGGCCTTCTCCTTCCTCCCAGAGCGTGTCTCTCTTTGAGTCTGTACACAGACTTGTTAAATTTCCACCCATGTCTGGTCGCTTTGTTTTCCTCATCCCTTTCTTTAATATATTCTCCACAGCTAATACCAGTCAATTTTTTAGTCTGATACTTCTATGACTCCTAAAAATAAGCTGTAATTTGTGATGCAGGTCTGCTTTGTTCTAAACAAACATTACATATGCGAGCAAACCTTTTATTGCGGAGTGGATTAAAATGCAAGCTTAGCCCGTACTCTCCCTGACAGCCTGTACTGTAAACAAAGCACTCTGTCGATAAATACGACAATGGAGGCAGAACAGTCTCCACTCCAACATTCTGCATTACTGTATGTGGTGTGGCCCCTTTTGTTTGTTTGCAATTACTGTTTAATTTAATCTACAGCGATACTTCAAATTGCCCTGCGGAGGAATATATTATACTTTACTCGAGGGAAAGGAAGAGAGCATAGAATAGAGAGACAGTTTAAAAAAGCATGACATAAACAGATCCTATATTTGCCAGCCACATTTAAATGCACCAGGCTTTCGTGGGAAATAGAACAGTTTCAATTTACCCTCATTTCTATTTCAATTTCATACTCGGTTTTTAGTTTTAAAGGTTAGAGGTGAACCCAAATACACTCAAACATAAAATGAGCTCATACCGTTACTGCTGGATGGAGGGTTTGCCGCAGTAGTGCTGGAGGCTTGTTCTCCCGGCGGAGTCGTGGTATCGTTTTGCCTCGTGCTTTTGACTGCAGGCACTAATCGAACCAGCGGCATCACCTCTTTCTCCTGCTCAGACAGCCCTTCCTGTGGATTCTGTAGTCTACTGCTAGGAGTCCTGAAGGAGAAACTACCACTCCTGTGCTCCATAATGGCATTGTCCATGCTTCCCTTGTTTCCACTTGGTTTTGGTACACTCAGATTTCTGCTGGATGCCTCTCCCTGCGTCTGGTTCTGTCCTGCTTTTTCCTCGAGCTCTGAAAGCCTCTTTTCTGTCTCCTCTACCTCTTCTCCTCCTCTCCAGTACCTGAAGGGCCTCATCAGAGTGTGAACAAACTCAGCCAACACACTGTTACCAGTCTGAGGCTGAGGAGTGGAGGAAGCCATGGAGGATGGTGTTGGGGTGTCAGATGATCCAAAATAGCCGGCGTCTTGTTCTTCGTGAGCAGAGCCTCCATGGCTCTCCAGGGTCTCGAGGTCAGAAAGGCCCATGGCGTTGCTACTCTTTGGGACGTCAGACTCCTCCAGGCTGGGTTGGCTGGTTATGGGTCCATCCTGTTTTTCACCCCAGCCCTCCTCTGGCCTTAAGTGGATGACGACATGCTCTTCGGAGATCTCAGCAGAGCTGTTGATCCCAGCAATAGAGTGGACTCCTGCGTTCTCCAAGTCAACCAAGCCAGTCCAGGTAGAAGTTTTGGGGAAAGGGGCACTACTACGCTGGGCTTCGGTGACAGAAGGGATGGCCTCTGCTGCTGGGTTTGGGGCCTGGTACAAAGCCTGTGCCTCTGCAGCCTGGACCCCCGCTGGCTGGTGGGCTGCAACACACAAAAGCCGCATTTCAGCAAAAGCAACAGAACTGTTTGTAACTGGAGCTGCTTTATCTGCTCCTGCACAACACAGCTCTGAACCTCTTTACCTCTCTCCTCCCGTTGCTGTAAACCTGTTATTACTGCTCACACAAGATTAAATTCAGAGCATGCCGCACGGCATTGGACTGAAGTTTTACCACATGTGGCTCTAATTTTTCTACCGCAAAATCCAATAATTTTCAAATTAACAAACACACATAAGTTGTGCACATGCCACATTAATGAGATTGTATCAACGATATTATTTACATGAAACAAATTTATGCCGTCAAACAAAACGTATTACCATTTTTATCTACTTGTAGCGCTCTGAAAGACATCATTTGTTTTAAATATTAATGCAAATGTGCATACAGCTTTGCGATGTAGAGGTTCATCTATCAGCTGTTTGTTTTGACAAATGCACTGCTGCTCTGCTCGCATGCTGTTCTTGTTTACTTAAAATGATTGGGTTATGTGGATGTTTCGCTTCAATGAAAATTTCATAAGCTGACACTGTGAGAGATGAAAATGTCACTTTTTTCCCCCATCTGTGGAGATACAATTGTCAAATATCAGTCTGCTACAATCAATGGAAGCCAGGAAAACAAAAATAAGCCCCAGATGCAGAATCATAGGTTTGATAATGCACGACATAAACAATATCACTGAGCAGAATGTGATGTAAAGTCGATCCAAAGTGACGATAAAACTAACTTATTCCAGTCTCAGTTGGCACATGATAAAAGACAAGGTCAGACACACAGTCACTGCAAACCCCAGTTGGACTCATTCATGCTCTTGCTCTTTCTATCTCTCTTCCTTTCTTCCTTACCTTCCTCTCTTTCTCTTTGTATCCCTCCCTCTCCCTCTCGAGCTTCACTACACGCAACATACAGGCCCTCAAATCCATCAGGGAGGGACACAAATGTCACACAATCTCTTCGCAACTACTTCATGTGTGACACAAACATGTCGTGCTAATTAAAAACCAGAATGGAAAGCAAGTCCCCAGACCTCTCTGCCGTTGCCATGGCAATTACCACAATGATGCTGCACCGAGTTTATCATCACAAGAGCTGGCGTGTACCTCGGTAGCAGAAGGCGTCGTACAGGGCCGTGGTGTCGGGGAAGCCAGTGCGGTTGGGGTTGTTGTAGACAGTCCGCACCCCGGGCTCGTCTCCGCCGCAGTTCTTCCGCGGGACGTTGATAGGGTAGCGGGCGCTGCCGTCTGCAAGCCAGCCGGGGTCACACTGGTCCAGGCCGGCCTGCCAGGCGAGGTAGAGCTGCCCGACAGTGGCTAGCTGGGCTCCAAGGGCGTGGCAGTGGGTGGAGGCTGTGGCCAGGCTCAACTTATCCGGCACTGTGGAGTGGAACACTTCACCTGGGAGGAGACGAAGGAGAAGAGAGATTTATAGTCCATGGTGGTACATACAGCCCTCAGTAAAGATCGTCTTTGTTGAGCTGGCTTATGATTTGTGAGTCTGGTTGTACAAAGTGATGGAGCTACATTTGTGTCTGAGTCTGTTTTACGAAGAGTGTGTGCGTATGAGTCTGTCAGCGCCTTCTTTTACTTTAAAGCCAGTAAGTTCTGGCTATTTTCTTTCTCTTCTTCGTAAACTCTGACAAAGAAATAAAGGTGGAGACTTGAAGTTGTGTGATAAAAGCAAAGTTTTACGCGCTATGCATAAGAACGCACTTTATTTTTTTGCATAAAAAGTATTAAAAAAGGCATGAGTGATTCAAAGAATGGACTATATAAAGACAGTTCTTTGAATTCAGAGCAGCAGCAAAGGGGGATCTAAGAGAAAGACAAATACACTGACTGCAACTGAAGGAGAAGAAGAAAAGAGAAGATGAAGAGAGGTGGGGTTGATGTGGATAAAATAGTGATGCAAAAATAGGGCCTCGGCAAAGCCAGGCAGAGAGAGCTCAAGAGGACCACTGTGTCTGTGCAGCACAAATAAAATCGTGTGATCAGAAAATTCACTGGCAGTTCAGTTTGTGATGAAAAAAATATGAGCGGGAGGGGTGGACAGTGGGAATGAGGAGCGGAGAACAGATGAAGTTGGATATGAGGGTGCAGGAGATTTATGCCGAGAGTAAAGAACGGTGTTGCTGATTTATTGAACTGAGATGAGGGGGTAAAGGGTGAAGATGCGGACAAAAGAAGAAAGAGGAAGAAAGGGATTATGTGAGGAGTGATATGTGAGAAGAATAAAGAAGACGATGGAGATATTTATGGGAAGGCTGGTGACAAGTTGCTAATTAATACTGACTTATGGTGAAATAAAAAAAGAAATGATGACAGAGTGAAAAAGAACAAACACTTCTGATACAGCAAACCAAACAGTGTGGAAATTTCGACATAGAGAATTCTTAATTTAACCAAGGTTTGTTGTTTTCTTTTTACAGAATAATGGAGAAACACCCGCTTCATATCCGCTAGCAGACAATTATCTGCTGATTGATTCAATCAGGTTGTTAATTTCACTTAATTATATTGTAAACTGCTGGATACAAAGTCTGCAGGTGGTCATGCAATCTTCTCCGCTCAGCATCTCAGTCACATACAGGGTCTTCACATCTATAAATAGCTCTGGTACTGTAACTATTACGCTTAATAACAGTTGTGGTCATACCACCTAGTAACAAGTGACCCAGATAGACGTTCCCCTGCAGGGTGTTTGATTGTGGTGTTAAAAAACCTGCTGTGCTTATGATTGTTGTTCGGAGTATGCAAATATAACAAAGCCATAGCAGCATTTCAGTCCGTCCACTGTCGCTGATGTGATTATAATGTGATGGCACAGCAGAATATGTGCTGGATTGATATTTGGCGTTTACACTTCCCATAAGGAAACACCAAGCTCAGTACAGCAGGGAGCTGGGAGTGATGACGATCATTTTCCCCCTCGGGAACTTAGAGTCTACAGGTGGACGCTGGGGGTTGAGGTTGGGCTGATGAAATGCTGCAAAATGATCAGTGGCGGCGGCGAAAGGGTACGTTAGATATACAGTGAAAAGAGTATGTCATGTATGAGTGGGAGTTAGCTCGCAGGGATCGCTTCTGTACATCAAATATCTAAAGAGTCTCAAGAAGGAGCAGCAAAAGCTGACCAGAAACTTCAGTTGCCTGGATGTTATCTTCAACAGTACCAACGGCACCACATAGAGGAAGAAAGGCCTCCAGTCATGTGGATATTGATTAGAATAAAAATCTATTTCCATCCTGCTTGCAAGTATAAATCCAAAACCTCCCATAAAGTTTCAATATTGTTTAGATTTGTCGGAGTTTTGTTAGATCTGACTTTCATATCGGCTGTGCCCAGTAGCTCCTTGAAGTAGAACACCACCTAAATTACAGATTCCAGTGTTTTTATCCACAGCCCAGGGAAAGTTTGCTCAATATTTTTGAACATGAGCTGCTCTCTCTCAAAACCAGAAACCAGAGAAGTTAGTGTGGAGCTGCTTCATGTACAATGAACAGGAGCCTGATTTTGTGGACCCACAGATATGTTTTTTTCACAATCTTTGCAGCATGGTGGTGCAGTGGTTAGCGGTTAGTATTGTTGCCTCACAGCAAGAGGGTTCCCTGGTTGAACCCCGGAGTGGGGGAGCCCTTGTGTGTGGAGTTTGCATGTTCTCCCTGTGTCAGCATGGGTTTCTGCTGTGTACTCCAGCTTCCTCCCACAGTCCAAAGACACGCAGGTTAATTGGTGACTCTAACTTGTCCATAGGTGTGAATGTGAGTGTGAATAGTTGTCTGTCTCTATGTGTCAGCCCTGTGATAGTCTGACAACCTGTCCAGGGTGTACCCTGCCTCTTGCCCAATGTCAGCTGGGATAGGCCCTAGCCAAATAAATGAATGCATGAACAATGTTTGTTACGTACATAGATCAAACGGCGCTGAGCAAACGCTGCATCAACTCATTAGCTTGAATGCTACATTTATAAAATTTTCACTGCTATACCTGCCGACAGACAGCTCTTTCCAACGGGAAACTGAAGCTGGTTTCTCAAAGCCATGCTGGTAGATTTGGTTAAGAAAGAGTTGGCAAAGCGACATAGTACATAAAATAAGCACAGTAGATACATCACATAGGTTTGACCACTGTGTTGTACTGTATGTAATTTGAGGCTGCAGTTAGTGCCGAGTGCCAATTTCACATATCTCCACAATTTAAATCAGTTGTCAGTTGTCTACCCTGAAGGGATTGTTGCTGTTAGTGTGACATCACAGTCAACACATTCCCCTGTGTGCTCTCTGTGTCATCTAAAACATCTTTCCCAATTCACTGTCTATGGAGCAGCTCCACACTTTATACTTGATGACAACATTACTAATATTTCTGAAGTGTTTTAAATCATAGGAATAACAGATATGAGTTTTGAAAATGGGTGTAGTTCCCCCTTATCTGTTGCTCTGCATGTCAAGTTTTCTCCTGAAGCACGGCACAAATGCATGTTATAATAACAGTGGGGACAGATTTTCTGCTCCAAATTCTTTGGAAATTTTTAAACGATTTTATGCAAAAGCAAACAAAAGCAGATTTCTCATTACTTGCCGACAATCCTCGATTTTCATGGCTGAAATGCCAACTGTCGCTGGCAGATTTTATCAGTTGTAGCTAGCTACTTAATCAATCTGCCTCCAGCTGACTTGCCAAAACTTTCCACTGACTCTTTTAAAAACAAGAGCAGTGTAAAAGCCCCTTAAATATGCACTCTCTGGCTACACACTGTACATGACATCATGCTAACAGTGTGAGGCTAAGGCTACATGGCCCAGATAAAAAGTCAGCATCATCACCAGCTGATGATTCATGTCAGAGACATGGAAATGGAGGATCTGTGTTGTTCTTGATAGAATACAATACCTCTTAGCTAGTTAGTCAGACAGGCAAACATTCAGATAAACTGCCTGTGGTACTGCAAATCAAAAAGTAAAGTTTTCGGATAACACTACTGACCCATTTAGCTTATGTCTGCAGGAGGTTGTGACATGACAGCTAGACTGAATATTGTCTCTTTTTCTCCCTCTCACTTCCACGACCTCTCCTCTGCTACAGCCCTCTTCCTTTCAGCACTAACAGAGTATTAACTCCTGGTCGCAGCGTTCTCGTGCTGCACACACACGGCTTAGTGGACCATGCATGACTAAACCTAAATTTATGGTTGAAGCTCCTGACTCCTACCTTGAAGCTGCTTAGCGAAGCAGTAGACATCAAACAGCTCATCAGGGGACCTATCGCCATAGTTACGGACTCCAGGTGAGTCCTCGCGATCGCCATAGCAACCGGGCCGAGGCGACTGGATGGGATACCTGCGGAGAGAAACCAAGAGACGGGGACAGAGAGAGTGGGAGAAAAAAAAGATTAATACAGCTTGGCCATGAAGAAGGCAGCTACAGACAAACTTGGCTCCCCGGGGACTGAGTCTGTGTTCACAAGCATACAAAATAAGATGAAAACCGAACTACACTTTTATCATCTCCTGCCCTGAATACAATGGCTTTAAGTTTATCTCCCTCCCAGAGATTATCCAAATATATTACTCAAAGAAGAACGAAAAAATAAACACATAAACCTCCCCCCTGAAACTGGCTGTAATGCCAAAGCGAGTTATACAGTAACATTCATTACATGTCACAACAACCTCAGGACAACAACTGTAAAGCACTTCAATAGATAATATCTTGCTTCCTTTAATTATTCTGCCCTCAATATGAGTTTCACAGAAAAACTGCCCTGCCATTTCACTTAAAATCGTTTCGAAATCTCTCTAATGCTCTGCCAATGTAAGAATTTCAGTAGCACGATACAGCTTTAGAGAGAATGAGAGAAAGGGAGGTAGCGGTAGGAAGTCAAGGAGAGGTTAAAAGAATCAGGAATTCCTTCAGTGGCTTGGCATGCCTGTGGGGCTGAGAAAACAGCGATCTATATTCAGGCTCCAACTGAGCAATTATTCCACAAGAACATTGATTCCAGCAGCACCAGGGCACAGGCAAAGAGGCTGATTAAAAGATTACGCTGGGCATACAGGGACTTAGGAAGTACTCGGAGCAGACGCACACACAAATGCACAAACACACACAATCAAACATACATGCAGAAGACACACATGCCTGCCCATAACCATAGACCTGCAGTTCTTTTCTTATGCAGCGGCCTGTTTTTCATCAGAGTAAAACAAGAGAGCTAAGTCCTGTAGTGTCTCTGGCCTCAGCTTCTCTCTTTCTGCCTGGTGGCTGATGAAGCGATGGCTGATGTCTGTATTTTTTCCACCGTATTAATTGGACACTTTCCTCCTGGCTGATGTGCAGTCGGAGCCTCCTGGATCTGGACCAATTAGATAACTCCCTGGTGGAAACAACAGGAGCGTAGGACGGAAGGAGAGGAAGAAATAGGAGAAGGAAGCTGTGCCGCAGGAAAGTTGTGAAAAAAAACTGTCAGGAAGACAACACTCAATCTGCTTGACTAGTGGAGCAACAGCAATTTGAAATTAAAATGTAGATACGGAGAACGCTGTTGAGATACGAGCTCTGACTGGTAATGTAGAGAGGGACTTTATGGAAGGTGGCAGGCTGAAGCACACGCAGCAGCCTGACAGACAGCTCAGAGGGGGCAGATGTAGTTAACTGCCTTTCCAGTTTGCAAACAAGCAATTAGGTCCAATTATGTTGCACAGTTTTGTGTTCATAAAAACTCCCAAAAAGATCAAAATGACTTGCTCGCTGCCATACTTCATACTCCTACTACTTCATCAAGTTATGTGTTTTTAGACACATTTCTAGTAGCAGAGTGCATTTATTTTTTACCATGTTTGATCATGTGGCAAATTATCAAAAATATTAGGGCTGGAACAACTGTCTGATAGAGATTTTAAAAAAGCAGTTTGGCCAAACAAGCAAGAGCTGTCAGCAAACCTTCCTACTTAAAGCCCAAGACTGCTGGTTAATATCTAGCCCAGCATATTAAGATGCAGCTGCAAAGTATGTGATAATCAGGCACTGGAGAAGCAATGTTCTATTTTGCTGGCCTGTCAGTTATCATTAACTCCAACCAAATCTCCAGACTAGATGTTGGCTTGGTATGTTTTTGCAGTTTGTAGATTTGTAACATTTGACAGTATAATGCAGCAGAAACTTTACATTTTTACAACACTGTAATTAACGTGTTGTTTAGGCACAAAAACCACTGGTTTATGATAAGGAAAAGATCATGCTGGCTTTGGTGCCACATCCACAGCTAGGAGTACCGCTGATTTAGCGCTTAAAAGAAACCAGTTTTGGTGGCACAATTGCCTCTTGAAATGCCACGATGTCTAGCTAGAACATATCCGGTTTTGGTGGCACAATTATGGCTGGAAATGCTGCCAATGTCTTGCTTAAAAACTTTAGGTTACTTGCATAACCCCGGTTCTCAGAGTAGCCTAAGTGAGATGTCTCACTATGTTTGTTCATCTCAACTCTAACTTATTTATAAAGCACATTTAAAAAAACAACTCACGCTGACCAAAGGGCTGTTCAAAAGGATTAAAATTCTAAAAACGCCTACATAAGAGGCAACATAATTGTCAGGTACACAGCTCACACATTAGGAGACACAACACACAGGCATGCATCAGGGAAAGACACATCAGGGGGACTCAAACGCTAATGAATGAAAGTAGGTTTTGAGCCTGGACTTAAATGAGTAAATGGAGGGGGCAGATTTGATTGGGAGGAGGCTGCTGTTCCACAGTTTGGGGGCAGACACAGCAAAGGCACGATCACCCCTGAGCTTAAGTCTGGAGTGTGGGAAAGCCAGGAGCCCCAGGTCAGCTGATCTGAGGGACCTGGGCGTAGAATAGGGGGTTAGAAAGTCTTAGATGTAGGATGGGGCCAGACCATTATGGGCTTTGTACACAAACAGGAGGACCTTAAAATCAAATCTTAACTTTACAGGCAGCCAGTGGAGAGAGGCTAAAACAGGTGTGATATGGTCTCTCCTCCGGGTACCTGTGAGGAGTCTGGCAGCGGTGTTCTGAACCAGCTGGAGGCAGGACAGAGAAGACTGACTAATACTGGTATACAGGGAGTTACAGTAGTCTCGTTGGTCTTGACAGTGGTCTGCAGTGTTCTGCTGCTTGAATCAGGACTGTAAATGCTGTCAACGTCTTGCTAAAAAACAACCAGTTTTGGTGGTACAATAGCTGCTGGAAATTCCTTGATGTGCTAAAAAGCAGACGCAGCATTTGTTGGTCTCGAACAGTGGTCTGCAGCTTGGCAGTAGTCTCGCCTTGGTGTCACGAGATGAACCATTCCCTTCCACCTAAATTTCTACTCTTCTTATAACTGTGTTGCTGCCAGTATCAAAGACACTGCCCTGCATCACAGAACAACCATAGAGACAGTGAAGAGTGTCCGCTTGATATTTATTTCAACAACAACAAACAATAGCTTTTGAACCTGAAACTGTGTATGTAAAGTTGATAACCTCACCGTACAGTCTGGTCAGACAGCCAGCCGGCATCACAGTTGTCATATCCATCAGCGAAGGTCGCCTGCAGCTGGCCGGGTGATGCGATGACTGCTGAGTTCTCCACACACACTCTCTTGGCGTCAGCGAAGGACAGGGCGTATCGGTCGTGAGGGGCTCGGTAGTGAAATACCACACCTGGAGCAAAGAGATACGGCGTGTGATAGGAAGTAGGAAGGATACTCCAGAAACTAATCGCGTGGATTTATGACCTGCAACCTCTGGGTCACAGAAATATTTATGAACTGCAACCTTGAGCCGTAAAAACATGAGCATGTACGCGCTCACAGATACATAAACACAGAGCCCTCTAGACATCCACATCATGTACTGACATTGTTCCATCTGTGTAGGAGGAAACTACAGCATTCAGGTTCAACAACCCGCGTACGTGAGTCTCATTTGCATCAGACAGTCTGTCGGCTTATCATTAGAGAAAAGAGATGTTGCCCTTGGATACAGTGGATGACAAACAGTGGTGATGTTTATTTTACTGCTTTAACAGTACACACACAATGTCACCCTACTGCCACCACTGTCTGCGCTGCTGTACTCATGATGGAAAGACAAAGAATGCAAACATAGAAATAGAAATAGGCTGCATTCAAGGAGATGCATATATACAGTACACGTTGAACCACAGAGACAGAAGAGACAGGGTGAGAGGTAGACAGGAATACAAAAAAGAGCGGGAAAAAAAAATTGGAAGAAGAAAAAAAAATCAACTGGGAACAAAGTGTGACACAATTCCCTTAGCTGTGAAAGGGGGCATATATTCCACTTAAATAGGAAAGGAATAGCTTTAGAAGTGTCCATCTAATGTTCCCTCACCTCCCACCTCTGCCTGCCATTCATACAGTGCTGCTCCCCTGAGGAGCATCCAGCGACATAAAAGCCAGTGGGCGTCTGGCTACTAACACAGCTCCTTTATCTTCGCTGGCTTTGTCTGGGAGAGTGACAGAGATTCCTGGGAGATGGAGGCCTGCATGGCAATTTGAGCATTAGCACTCCAGGCTATGGGCGAAGAAAGCAAGCAGGGCCATGTGTGTTTGTGTGTCACACACACACACACACACACACACACACACACACACAGACACAGTTCCCACAATCCCAGCAGTCCATCTCGCCATTTTGTCATCTCGGTCTTATTCTCCTCTCCACAAAAATGTAGAGCAGAGATCCTCTCTTTCTCTGCTGCGTTTCTTTTCTGCTAATTTCTCAGTTTCCATTCTTTGTCCTTGGAGGCTGTGGGATTTTGTCCAAACAGAGATGCTAGCTCGCTGGCTAATGCGTACACTACAGAGGCAAATGGGTTTCCTCTCAGTATGGGAAACCCGGACTTATTCCACATGAGGGCTGAATGCCCAATACCTCATGCCTCTATTTTTACCCTCTGCATCTTCACACACTGTCTCCAGAGAGGAGAACAGGAAGGCACCATTTGTGGGCAGGCCCCATGTTTTATGACTGTAGGCTGCCCCCATTGTAGCACAGTTGAGCAGTTGGTGTCCCTCGGCAATATTGTTTAGTACACTACACTGCATTACAACTTATACAGGTTTACTCTGTTCAAACTCAAAATGAAATTTAAATTCTCCACACTTTTTGCATATGAGAGTATATCTATGATGATCATATACAGACCAAGTTCTGCTCCTCGTAGCAGCAGCACTCCCAGATGTCAGTGGCCCCCCAGCAGGACACTGCACCATGTCCCACCTTAAAAAACTGCTCAGGATTGGTCCGAGGATCGTGACAAAGATCTGAAGACATCAATCTGGTCTCCATTTTCCCAGATCGCAATCTGATTACGCATTCCTGGGACGTGCCAGTACCCTAGACGTACCCTCGATCCACAGTGGAGCCTCCTTGGATTGGACTTGGCTCTGACCTGTTGAAGCACGGACCTCCGGTGGATGTCCTGTGGTGTCTGGCATCAGGGTGTTGGCAGTGGATCCTTTGAGTCCTATGAGTTGTGAGGTGGAGTACTGGCACGTCCCACAGTTGCCAGATTAGATTGGGATCTGGCGAATGTGGAGGCCAGGTGGACACCAGGAGCTCTTTGTCACGTTTCTTGGGACATTCTTGAGTTGTGTTTATGGTCTGGCATGGTGCATTGCCCTCCGTGAGGCCACTGCCATTGAGGAATGTCGTTGCTATGAAGGGGGTTACTTTCAGGTGGCATTCACATGATTGCCAGGAACCAAGGTTTCCCAGCAGAACACTGGATTGTAATGATACAATCAATGTTATTCATTTCACCAGCCAGTGGTTTTAATGTTTTGGCTCATCAGTGTAGCTATTGTATTTCTCCACTTTTCACAAGATACACCCATTTTTGAGCACATTTTTCCCCAGGAGTGTTTTGCAGGGTCCTGTCCAACTGCGCTGTAATTAGCAAGAATTCACTGAGGTTTGAATGCAGTTAGGGTAAGGGCAAAAAGGTCATGGTAAGGGTTAGTACTAGCCAATCACAGCAGTGGGGCAGGACTAGGTGTAACACTCTTGGGAAACAAAAGGTTTTAGACAGATGTGTAGAAACACTGTGTGAGCTCTATTGACTATGAGAGCACGTCATAACCTTGTATAGACTACAAACACTGACATAAGATGTTTTCCCTCCTTTTCAACAAACCTGCATAACATCATCAGAGTTTGGCAAGTTACTCTTTAAAAATGTAATAATTACAAATTACTAGTTACCTTCATTTGAAAGCAATAAGTTACTTATTGCACTACTTTTGCTTTACTTTCACCAAAGTGACCTTAGAAGAACTAACAGGCATTTTAAATGGATGAGGGTCATGTTGATTCACAGCAGGTAATCAAAGCACAGACGCTTCAGTTTATTACAGTTCATTTCATCCATCCGGTGCTGAGCAGGTCTGACCTATTTATGCATTCACATACAGTGGTTACCACTTTGTATTAAAAGTCCTTTATTATTATATTAATAATAGTGTGAAGATATAGAACAATTAAATAGTCTAGACCATTTCAAATAAATGAATAGCCTTGGACACATGGACGGGCAGGCAAAGTCTAATAATTATGAGATATGAATAAATATTTGTGGGCCTATGATATGAAACTCAATAAACAAATACTGAGGTTAGCAGAACAAATGGAGTGGCGTGAGAGTAAATCACTATGACGAGTGCAAATTAATCCATCTGCCAGTTCCACAGTGTGCTGGTCAGCTACAACAGCACTAGAGCAAGAAGTATGCATAATGACGGGACAGTGTGTCGGTGTTGGTCTGCAGTTGTTGGGGATGTGAATGGAAAAACATCCAACAAATACTAAAATCACTTATATATGTTGATCACCGGGACGTTGAAAAAACAAACTGGAGGCCAGCTTCTTATCCGCGCTGCTTTCAGGCAGCCTTAGGACGCAAAAGCAGAATGGGATACGTTGTAGTTACATGAACGGAAACCCACCGGACATGATGACACACACAATCACTGGCACCCATCTATAAGGTAGTGTATAATGACATGACAACACACAACAACCTTCGGTGGATGTTTTTTCTGGTGGTGCAAGTGGCGGAAGTGAAGCGGTATTGATGAATGGAAAAAAATGAAAACAATAAACAGTTTATTTTGGGTGGTAACACTTTATGTGACATTGTAAAAAAAATCCTGTTGGTAATGTGTTATATTACTTTGTTACTGCTAAATAGTAATATATTACTGTAACAGGTTACAAAAGTAGCCAAACACCATTTATCTGCACACACTGCAATGACACAGAGCTGGTTGTTAATCAGTAAAGTTTTCCTTAGGGAGAAATTGATTGCAAACGTGGATTTTAATATCAGTTCAACTGCATACATATCGCATAATGAGGCTGTTGGTAGATTTTATTTCCAACTACAGGATTCTCCATTGTATTAAGAGCTGTATAGAACCACACACATTAAAAGAAGGATTTAAAAATGCATCTGCAAACTATAAACTGCATATACTAAATTCACAACATGAATATATTTGAGACAGTTTAGACTTGCAACTGTGAGGAACCTTGTTAAAACTTTCTTGTGCAGAAGTTGTGTAAACCATTACAATATGCTTTTCACTATGCCCATCGCTGACAGACTATATATCGTCCTCACACCAGTTAATGGTGGGCAGTGATATCTCACCACAAGACAACGGCTGACACGCGCTATCAATGGCACTGTTCCCTAATTGGTGAGACACGGCCAATTGACCAGTCAATATGTGCCAAGAGAAAGAAAGAAGGAAAATGGAGACTAAACAAGGAGCGAGTAAGACAGAGACGGCAGGGGAGAAATTAAGGAAGAGATGGCAAGGGAGGAAGGACATCTCATCGGGGCTTAGGCAAACACACAAATTAGTCTATGAGAGGAGCAGTGCGGATTAATATGATATTGATATAGCTGAGCAGTATCAATACCTGCTAATTAATACGTTAAGCACTCAGAAGAATTAGTGTGAGGACGGCTGTGGTCTGCCATGTAGCGTGACTGCCAATTAAGACTAAGCCCTGGAGATGGCTAGTCCTCGCCAGCTACGTAATTGGTTTCTCTCTAAAGGAGTGGTTTTCATAGCGTGTTAATCGATTGGCCAAGAGGGGGAGGATGCATCTCCCAAGCGTTGTGACAGGGGTCCTGCTTAGTAAATGTAGACTGCTCTTATGGAAAAAGATGAGTTGCTCTGCTTGTATGAGAATAGCATCCTTGCTGAGATACAGAAATTATAAAGAAACAGTGGCCTATACAGACACACACCTATATGCATGCTTGCAGTTATATTAAGGCAACAGAGTGGAGGCTATCTGTGTTACTCATACGACGTAGCCATTGCAGCGTGCTGTGTCTTTGTAAAAGAATAAGGTTACTGGGCCTTCAGAGCTGGTGTTAGCAGCACTAGCACGGATTTGTAGATGTGGCAGCATAGTGTACAGTGGCTAATACGTTGTGTGATTCCCTGTAGTCATTATGATAATAGCTTATTATTAAAAATAGTGAGTGACCTGGAAAGAATCTGATGAAAGCTCTGCAGCTAAAATACCCTGACAAAGTAATTATGGTTCTACTACAGTGAGCTACCTCCAGGTAGTCTGGTAATTCCACAAATACGGGTGTCCTGGATACAGATACTGCAGTAAATGGTTTGCCCATTTAGTTAGGCCACTGAGAGCCATACAAAGTGCCCGCAGTCACACTATTTGACAATAGCGTACACTGCTGGGTTCCTACCTTATTGGTTTCATTAGGCTTTCAGTGCATGAACAGCACCTGAGTGGCCCAGGTCAATGATGTTTAATGTGTTCCAGTTCCCTCACCCTTTTTCTTCCACACCATCATACATTCTGCGCGGACAGTAAACAACCCTGGGTGTAAATGGCTGTATTAGCCTGACATGGAAAACAGGGTCATTATTATTCATAGTGGCAGAGCTTGAGAGCAAATCGAGAGCTGTACAAAACCAAAGAGTGGAGTGTTGCTTTGCTCAGACAATAATTTATGTTGGTGAAAACACGCATAATGCCTAGAATGACATAAGTGATGTTAATTGCTTTGTACAGTACAGGCCAAAAGTTTGGACACACCTTCTCATTCAATGCGTTTTCTTTATTTTCATGACTATTTACATTGTAGATTCTCACTGAAGGCATCAAAACTATGAATGAACACATGTGGAGTTATGTACTTAACAAAAAAAGGTGAAATAACTGAAAACATGTTTTATATTCTAGTTTTTTCAAAATAGCCACCCTTTGCTCTGATTACTGCTTTGCACACTCTTGGCATTCTCTCCATGAGCTTCAAGAGGTAGTCACCTGAAATGTTTTTCCAACAGTCTTGAAGGAGTTCCCAGAGGTGTTTAGCACTTGTTGGCCCCTTTGCCTTCACTCTGTGGTCCAGCTCACCCCAAACCATCTCTATTGGGTTCAGGTCCGGTGACTGTGGAGGCCAGGTCATCTGCCGCGGCACTCCATCACTCTCCTTCTTGGTCAAATAGCCCTTACACAGCCTGGAGGTGTGTTTGGGGTCATTGTCCTGTTGAAAAATAAATGACCGTCCAACTAAACGCAAACCGGATGGGATGGCATGTCGCTGCAGGATGCTGTGGTAGCCATGCTGGTTCAGTGTGCCTTCAATTTTGAATAAATCCCCAACAGTGTCACCAGCAAAACACCCCCACACCATCACACCTCCTCCTCCATGCTTCACAGTGGGAACCAGGCATGTGGAATCCATCCGTTCACCTTTTCTGCGTCTCACAAAGACACGGCGGTTGGAACCAAAGATCTCAAATTTGGACTCATCAGACCAAAGCACAGATTTCCACTGGTCTAATGTCCATTCCTTGTGTTTCTTGGCCCAAACAAATCTCTTCTGCTTGTTGCCTCTCCTTAGCAGTGGTTTCCTAGCAGCTATTTGACCATGAAGGCCTGATTTGCGCAGTCTCCTCTTAACAGTTGTTCTAGAGATGGGTCTGCTGCTAGAACTCTGTGTGGCATTCATCTGGTCTCTGATCTGAGCTGCTGTTAACCTGCCATTTCTGAGGCTGGTGACTCGGATGAACTTATCCTCAGAAGCAGAGGTGACTCTTGGTCTTCCTTTCCTGGGTCGGTCCTCATGTGTGCCAGTTTCGTTGTAGCGCTTGATGGTTTTTGAGACTCCACTTGGGGACACATTTAAAGTTTTTGCAATTTTCCGGACTGACTGACCTTCATTTCTTAAAGTAATGATGGCCACTTGTTTTTCTTTAGTTAGCTGATTGGTTCTTGCCATAATATGAATTTTAACAGTTGTCCAATAGGGCTGTCGGCTGTGTATTAACCTGACTTCTGCACAACACAACTGATGGTCCCAACCCCATTGATAAAGCAAGAAATTCCACTAATTAACCCTGATAAGGCACACCTGTGAAGTGGAAACCATTTCAGGTGACTACCTCTTGAAGCTCATGGAGAGAATGCCAAGAGTGTGCAAAGCAGTAATCAGAGCAAAGGGTGGCTATTTTGAAGAAACTAGAATATAAAACATGTTTTCAGTTATTTCACCTTTTTTTGTTAAGTACATAACTCCACATGTGTTCATTCATAGTTTTGATGCCTTCAGTGAGAATCTACAATGTAAATAGTCATGAAAATAAAGAAAACGCATTGAATGAGAAGGTGTGTCCAAACTTTTGGCCTGTACTGTATATCACAGCTCATCAGTTGATGGCAGTGTTACTGATTCACAGAAATAATCAGGTTTATGAGGGCAGTAGAAGATTCTTGCATGCTCACTCTTTTTCTCTCTGTTCTAATGACGCTTCTGCGGTGTGCTGTCCAGTGTTAACACACTACAATATACAGCTACAGTAAAACAAACCACGCTCACTTGCTAAGTAATGACAGAAAGTGCATTACTGTCATTATACCTCAGCTCAAATGCTGAAAGGCTTGACTAGCAATAGCTGCCTTCCCGAGGAATATTTAAAATTTTCTCCATTAACAGGCAGATTTTTTAAACTTCTTGCATACACCTAAAATTTCAGTAAGAACAATATCTTTTGTAGTAACTGGTCACGCCTTTTTGGTTTATTTACAATGCACCTCATCCATTTCAGTAAAGTTTTAGCTTCTGCAATGAATTTGTGATTTGATACTAACTGCAAGCGACATGTAGCACCGCAAATGTGAAGCTTTATGAACTGGCGACAGGCTGAGTAGCCTGTCACTGTCACTTATCTAACTAGAAATTGCGTAATAATTCCTCCTCCTGGGAAGTTAGCAAATGTACTAGCTAATAGTCGTTAGCTACTTGAGCTAGCTACCTGATTTCAATAGCATGCTTCCTCAAATTGTGAACCAAAATGTGAACCAAATCTCCAGGTCCTTGAGATGAATACATTTTTATTACACTAGTCAGAACCTCCTGATGTTTGTTTGGTGTGACTAGCATACAGCTAGGTTGGCTCTGGCATGAGATTTCCCACCCACTGTGTGACCTCGATTCAAAATGGCTGCCCTAAGATCGTAGGGCTGCTGTGAAACTGCGCCTAATTAGGGCAACAAAAAAGTTTATCTTTGGTGCGTCGGTACAATGGACAACCAAGAAAGAACAGCAGAGAAGATACTCGCACACCAATGCAACTGGGCTGGACAGCCACAAAAAAGGTTCACAGGCTGAGATCAATGCAAAAAATGTCAAGTTATTTAGTACATCCTTTTACGGGAAGAAGGGTTTTTAAAGTGCATAAAATAATTTTTTTTAAAAAGTGAATAAAAACAGCAGCAAACGTTTCAGTCCTTGACTATTGAGGGCATGACAAAAAAACAACAAAATGCCAAAATTTACCTGCAAATATTTCGCAACAGCGACCAGCAGTAATGCAAATTTGCAACAGTTGCAACACTTGTTCAATAAAAGGATCAAATAGATTCATATTCTGCTGTGGCTGCTTTCAGACATATGCTCAGTTGGACAGTTTGAGGTCCTTCTAGGGATGCTACCGCCTCATCTGAGGAGGCAGAGGACCAACTACAGGGATCCTATTGATACAGAGCATCAGTCTGTCTGAGCTAACCTGTTGTATCACTTAAGATACTTTAAGCTATTTTATTGAGTTTCCTTTTGGTAAAATGCTCTGAGGGAATTTGACTTATGTTTGAGTTGAAAGGTAAGAAAGAAAGGAGCTGTGACGTGATGTCTGTTCTGCACAACGAGAATGATTGATACCTTTCTGTGCATTTCAAATGCTCAGAAAAATCAAACTATCTGAAAAAACTACGATGCTTTTACACAGCATAATATTTGCATTCCAAGTGAAAGTACTCATAACAAGACAGCAGATTGAAAATATATATTGGCATGTGAATTAATTCCACAAAATGAATATATAAATTTTAAAAAGCCCCTGCTGTGTAAAGGCCTTTAATCAGAAAAATGTCATTTAATTTACCTGTGACCTCCAGGGGAACTGTGTCCTGCTCGTCACTGATGCCCACCACGACCTCACAGCGGTACAGACCAGAGTCGCTGGACCGTAGCCCTGACAGAGCAAGACTGGCGTTGTAGCGATTCTCACTGTAACCAGGCAGCGTGACACGACCCTGGAAAGCCTTCTTCACCTGAGGGCAGAGAGAAAGAGGCGAGGGGTGATAATGAGAGAGGGGAAAAACACACCACTGAGCCATTTGTGTTTTCCAAAAAAGCTTGGCACAAACTATTTCACGGCGCCCTCCCTAAGCCTCTATGGTACCTTGACCACGTTGTCTTTGGCCACCAGGACCGACTGTTCCTTCTGCAGGCCGTCGGAGCCTCTCTGGCCCCAAACCTTGGTCCACTTGATCCTGGGGGGCTCATGAGATGAGCTGGCACTGGGGCGGAGGGTGAAGAGGCAGGGGAGGAGAACGGTTTTGGACAGCTCCTCGCTAATGGTCTGATGGGTCACCTTCCGCATATTCACCACAGTGTCGGCGTTGGTTGTGCCTGAGGAGAGGAGAGGAGAGGAGAGGAGAGAAGAGGAGAATCAATGCCGTCTTGTAAATTAAGCCACAGAACGTTTTTTCTCATTACGCTGAAAAGACGTTAGTTAATTGCTTCTTGTAGGAGAAAACATGCTCTCCTTTCAGGTTCTTTTGTTCCATCAGATGCTTCTGAAGTAAAAGGGAAAGAGCAGAGGCTCATTGTGGCTCTCTGATTATCGGCCATTGATCCAGCAAACCATTACCGAGCTACCTGAACAGTGGGAGGCAGGGCTGGACTGTGGAGGGAAGATATCAAAAGTCCTTTCATAAGCCATATATCAAACCTGGATGTGCATTATGGGATCAATATCCACCAGCTCTTTGCAGCTTAAAGCACCACCACCACCACCATAGACATACAAATATTATTTTGCTCAAAACAACATGATGACAGAGAGAAGGGGTATCATTAAAAGAAATTCAGAGTGCGGTGCATTTAGACGAGTTCTGGTTTTTGTTCAGCAGAATTCTGCAATACTCTGCTGCATTTTTCCTTTGTTGTCTTTTCTCTCAACTCATTTTACACTGGTGGAGTCACATCATACGTTAACATTACGCTCTAATCCTGTGTCACCTTGCCTGAAAAGACAGAGGTGGCTCATTTACATCGCAAAGCTAGATGTGAATTCCGCTCTTTCGAAACAGTAATACAGGTTATCATCTCTGAGCTCTATCTGCTTCTGTTTATCCAGTGTGCAGCGTGTGTGAATGAGGTTTACCTGTAAAGCCTTGAACCTAATCTCATTCTTTTCCTGCTTCCTTATCAGTCACAATTCCCTTTTTTCTCACTACTGAGAATGCTGGCAAAAACATGCCGCTATGTTGAATCTAATTCGCCCCAAAGCCCAGCATCAGTGCATGCATTTATAATCAGTTAGCCACTTTTTAGCCACACTGGCAGCATGGCTCTAGGGATAGCAACTATCTGTTGGTAAGTCCAACTCTGACAGTCAAGTATTAGATAGATTGCCATGAATTCAGTACAGACGTTCATAGTCCTCAAAGGATGCATCCTAATGACTGTGATGATCCCCTGACTCTTCCTCTTATGCAACCATGAGGTTGACATTTGTGGTTGTGAGTGAAGTAAGATAAGATGAAGAGATGAGAGAGCAAAAATGAAAGATTGAAGAACAGAAAGAAGCACTCCCTAGGTGGGCCGAACGGTTGAACGATGGAGAAAATGAGCCTATTGATTTCTTTTCATTAGTGTTGGTTTCCACTGCACACTTTATGTGTGTGTCCCGCTTCACTCCTGTTTGATTGGATGCATGTTAAAGTGCTACACGCTACAGGGCGGCCCCTCCTGTCTGTAATTAAATGGCAGATCGGTGGAACAATGTTTTTCCAGCGGTCACAGGCGCACCGCTGCGCGAGTCACTCAACCTCTCTGTCCTTCTGTCTGCTCTGTCATTTTTCTTCCCATTTCCTGTCACTCTCTTTCTCCTCTTCCACCCCCGCAGTACGACCACCTGCCAGCTTTCAGACGAGCATTTCACTTCTTGGCTTTTTTCCATCTGAGAATCTTATTTTTGTTTTATCTTCAGCCTATAGATGAAAGTTAAACAGTGTTTTTGTTTTATTTTCAGGATAAGATTTTTCCCTGAGCCAGGCTGAGGAAATATAGTCCACAATTCAGATCAACTTTCCATCAGCTGCCTCATCTCTGATTGCCAATTTTGCTAATAGTGGATGTATTGTACAAGGTGTGTGTGTGTGTGTGTGTGTGTGTGTGTGCGTGTGTGTGTGTGTGTGTGTGCACTGGAATGCTCCCACAAGAGAAAAATCTCATCTGTCTTTTGCTATTCAGGGAGCACCGAGTGCACACCCTCCACACACACATAACCACTTACCTACACACACACACACATTTTTGAAACCCCCATTTTTCATTCCTTACTGGATGGTTAATGTGACATTGAGCACACACAAATAGCAGACATGTGGATTGCTGTCATTGCTCATTCCCACAGCCGTTATGCTGTTGCAGTTGCTCAAGCTAAGAGGCTGAGTGCCTCTACCCTGATAGCTTAACATCAGCCCTCCCATCGCATTTTCTCCTCCCCGCAGACGCATGAACACACATAAATACCCACTTCTCCCCTTCTCCCAGTGACATCGTCTCAGACAAGCGCTACTTGTCTGACTCCCTCACTAGCTGATCTATGGTGCTCTGCATGGCAGCATCAAACAGGATTTGTGCTCTGAAATGGCCTCTCGTTTCGCACTCCAGAGGAGTTCTGCCCATCGTGCGAGGTGACCTGTGAAACAAAATGCATGAGGCTTTCAAAGGGAGAGGGATAAGATGAGATTGGAAGGGCGATGAGGAATAAACAAGTACAGCAGCGTGGGTCACAAACAATGACATGTCTTACCTGATTTTTTTTACTTGTGTGTGTAAGGGAAAATCATCTTAGAGGGGACCTTTTATGCTTTTTATTATTTTCTGACATATATATAATGTTACAATGTCAGACGTTCATATTAAAGGTGGCCAAAGTTTCCAATAATGAGGTAAATATATGTAAATCCCTGTGAGCAAAAACCTCAGGCTCCAGGCACGCTACTGCAAGGATTTACGTTACATACACTGCTACATGTAGCTACATGCTAGCCTCAAGGAGACATGTAATCATGGTTGCCGATGTTGTTAATTTCTCCCAGATTTCAGATGAGATTCCTGCTGTGACACGTCTTGTGAAGATTTTAGTTTATGTTATTAGTGCCGCTATATACTCCAGTACAGTCATTCCCCCGGCTGCAATAACGGTGCAGATATTCTGACAGGAAAACCAGGAAAAACTGACCAATCAGAGCAGACTGGGCTTTTCGCATAGGCATAGGCCCCACCACCTTACCCACACAGTAAAAAGACACACAGACTTTATGATGGTTTTGCATGTCTTTGTAGTTTTTATGCATATTTGTAGTCATTTTGGGGCTCCTTGTAGTTTTTTTGTGTCTTTTTTGGTCGTTTTGTGCCACTTTGTAGTCAATTCTTATCTCCTTGTGGTTGGTCTGTGTCACTTTGTGATCATTTTGCCTGTTTAAGTAGTTATTTGTCTATTTACCGTTCCTTTGTATCTCTTTCCAGCCTCTTTGTGTCTCTTTTTAATTAATTTAATCTCTTCCTGGTCAGTACACATTACTTTGAGTGACATTTTGCAGGTGAAGGCCAGGTTGGCCCCAAACACTTTGGGCCCCTACAACTGAGCCTGGTAGGCCCATTCAGTAATCTATCTATGCTTTTTCGGGAGGGGGGCTTACAGAGGCACAATGGAACATTTCAGACAAAGCGTAAATACAAGTGATCCAGCACAGACAGTATGAGGAAAATAATGTGTTTTTTGACCATTAAACCTGAAAATGAGAATAATAGTTCCCCTTTAAAGGAATAGTTCAACATTTTAGTGGAGAGCTAATGAGAAAATTAATATCATTCCCATATCTGTCCACTATATATGGGGTTATATTCAGAAAGTCCTGGCTTTGCCAACAAGCTCACTAATCACTATTTTATATCTATATTTTGTTACAATTTGACAGAGCAAGGCAAGCTGTTTCCGCCTTTTTTCATTCTTTAGGCTGCTTTCAGACCTAGAGTTGTCTTGCTTTGGTCTGAATCAGGGAGTAATTTGTAACAAAGTTGCATAATTGCCTAGAGTTGGTCTGTTTACTCACGGCAGCATTTACAAGCAGACCAGATCAAATGGCTGAGTGAGAACGCTGCTCTTGATTGGTCAGAATTTTCATGAGGGAAAAATCCAGGAAGTAAACAAAACGTTGAAGAAGAGTACACTTGCGAGATAAATGTGACACTTTCTAATGTCACAATGGAGGGACAACTACGCAGGTTGATTTTAGCGCTGCTCATCGTGGACTATATTGCTGTCATTGTTCATTTTAGTCAAACCATACAGTTTGAAAACGAGGCGCGGCTCCAACTAGAAAACAATGTTTTGATGCATTGGATGTGCTGAATGTGCATATTAAGGCAGTACAGGAGGAGGTGCACATTAATAATCCTCCAGGACTGTAACATGCTCATGTTTAACCCAAACAATGCATCATGTGACTGCAGTTGGTTCAGATCCAGGTCGGAACACGTTCTCACCACAAACAAACCGCACCAGAGTTCATTTGTAACCAGACTGAAACCACCTCTTCAAGAAGGTCTCAGTTCGGTTGCTTTGATGCATACCTAAGTGTGATTGCTGTGTTCACACCTGCCCAAACTAACCGAACAGGGCAGGTGTGAAAGCACCCTTAGGCTTAGCTAGGCTAACAGGCTGCTGGGTATGCATTCATATTTATCACATAAACATAAGAATGGTATCAATCTTCTTATCTAACTCTTGGCAAGAAATAGATGAACTGTATTTCCCAATATGCTGAGCTATTGCTTATGTTCATCACAGAGAATCTGTTAACAACTGACGTTATCTGCTATCCTTTGTAAGTAATCAGTATTTGTTTTACGACAGATATTGCCATGACACGCTCCATTTTAGCGCCTGTCTCTTTAAGTCCCCCTCCTGAAAAAGCCCAGTCTGGTCTGATTAGTCAGATTTTCGGGTCTTCTGCATATGAACTGTCGTCATCCCTGCACCGTCACTGCAGCTCCATGAATGACTGTAACAGAGTGTAGTGCCATTTTCTACCATGAAAAATCACCAATAAAAGCTTCAAAATCTAATATGTTCCAGGAATCTGATATAAAAACAAATAATGTGGCATTTTATCACTTTTGTCAGAGCAGTTGCATTTTTTTCAAATCTGGAGGGATTCAAATTCTCCATTTTATTACCAAAAGCACTTCACATTCTTAAGTGGCTGCGGGTTAAAATGACAATTTTGTGAGTTACACAACACTGTTGACAACAAACGGGCACTCTCAATACAGTTTGTGGTCCACAGACTCTGCAAAAGGAGTAGGTGTAGAGGAAAATTGATTCACTTTTG